TTTTGCCACTGCGATTTTGTTTTGTCCTGTTTGAGTATATTTCAGTGCAGTGAAATCAAGTTATGTCGTACATACACATTTCTAAATTTACCCCTTCTGGGTTTATTATGTATTTCAACAAGCATCCCATCTAATTCATCTATTCATATCTTTGAAAATACAGTGTCTTCGGTGAGCATTATCTGCCATGTTTATTATGTAATCACTATATTAATTTAGAAGTCAAACAACAAAAATTAGCCTTATATTTGCAAATTTTTACAGGACTAGTTTCGATGGTTTTACCGAACCATCATCCTCAGCTGCCTTTAGGGAAATTATATTTTAGTTCTCGTTTCATCAATATATGGCGCCAGTAGCTTAACTCATATCCAGTCACTTTTATCTTATCTTATCTAATCAGTATATTTTATCTCGTTCATATGGGCTTTGGCAGCTGAGGATGACGGTTCGGTAGAAATCATCGAAAACAGTCCTATAAAAATTACAAACTGTTTTTTTTTTGTTTGTTTGTTTAACTTCTAAATTGATGCTTATTCGGCGTGTAATTTTATCTTAATGTAATCACTATTCTGCTCTATTCATTGAGTTCCTCTGTTTTTTATTTGTGTCTTGCTTAATTACTGGTCATATGCACAATCTCACTACTACTTTTTATGAAATTGCAATGCTGTGTGTACAATTTACGTTCATTTTATGCACTTAAGTTTTTAGATCCCTATATGTTATCAAAACCACTTTAGTAGAAGTTGCAAATTTTCAGAATATGTTAGGTTCTGGAAACCTTGCGCTTAACCATTATTTAGCCAATCACGCTCATAACAGTCCTTCAGTCAAGCCACGTTGCCATTTTCGTATGCGTTCTTTTTATTGTATTCTAAGTTCTAATGGTTTTTATTAATAAACAGGGATATATTTTGTCTTAAGTCTAATTTCAAAATATGGTTTTGTGAAATTTGTCAGCAATGTAAGATAACCGTAGTAAAATTCCAGCAGGAATACAGAGTTTTACCGCGAAATTTCTAAAGGAAACAACGAAGGGATACATTCGGTAAATAGCCGTTGCTGCCGAGGTTTGCACGATCCCGAGTCTCTACAATTCTCTGATTTTTTTTAAGCAAACACAGACCGCTATGTATATGGGCACAAGAATAGAGCAAAAAAAATTACGAAAGATTTGGAGAACATATATTTTTTAATTTTTTAATATCACGTAATTCTAATTTGATAATTCAAATTTTCATTTTAAATTGCTAAGATATATTGAGTTTTCATATGTTAATAATGTTTGCCTATTTACGCTAAATATCAACAGTTTGAGAATCTTTTTAAAAAAGTCGCGAAAACCACCAACATGCACAGATTTGTACCGCAGTAAATTTTACCTTTCCGTCTGTAAAAAATCGTCAAATTGCTCCATGTGGTTGCGTTAACACATAAATGACTTTACTTATTAGTTATTTTATTCCTACATGCTTTTATTTATTTATCTCTCTTTTATATTCTCATCTGCTCTTTCGCCCATTAAGTATCAGGGATTTCTTACAATCTTATTCAATCGCCAACTCTATATTCGATAGTTGGAGTATATATTATTCGACAAAGACTGTTTTCGAAACACGTGCAACCTAGGCATTATGTTACAGATATTACAACAGTGGGTCTTCTCGGCCGTTATGCTAATGCTCCACAGATCTGCCGCTCTTCTGTTAGAGAAAACAAACAAACAAAAAAAATGAAAAGATAGGAAGCAAAAAATATATATTTTAAAATGAAGGCTGACGAAAATGGTGAAAAAAAGCCATAAGAAACTAGACCAGAATAAAAGAAATTTTACAATAATGTACTTTATTGTCAAAAGCTACGTAGGTAAGTTGAAAAATAAGTTTCCCCTGTCAACTGTGATCAGAGTTGTGTATGAAAGTCAAAAAATAGAATGAGACATTAAAGATATGACATACCTTTATTTTTCCACATAGGTACCAAGTACGTTGAGACATTTGTCATATCGCTTGATAAGCTTCAAAAATCCCTCCAGGAAAAAATCAGGACTTTGCATATGGAAGAAGAGTTGAAAGGCTATGGGCGAAAGGCGACACAGCAGGAAAACGCGCAAGTCACCGATATACCATTGGGTAGAGGTTGCTGCAAATCAGCAGATGGCGCTGTTGCAGTGCCTGCGCAAAGCGGGAACCAGCCTCTCATTTGAGCTCCGGTAGGTATGGAGAGAAGGTGCGTTTTGAATTCGTGGTCAAAGGAGGAAGTGAGAGCGGTTATCCGCTATGAATGGGCACGTGGAGTATCAGGAACAGAAATTCATAACCGCCTCGTGGAAGTCTATGGGCCAGGTGTGATGTCGAAGCAAATGGTGCGGAGATGGTGTCGCACATTCAGTGATGGACGTCAGCAAGTGGAGGATATACCGAAAGCTGGACGGACGCGCACGGCCACTACAGATGCAAATGTCAGGAAGGTGGATGACATGACTAGAGCGAACCGGCGTATCACCATCGATGAAGTAGCGGAAGAACTTGGAATCTCACATGAGCGAGCTCAAAACATCATCCACGACATTCTTCGATACAGAAAAGTGTCAGCACGATGGGTGCCCCGACAATTGACCTTTACACACAAGGAACAACGCATGGGGTCAGGCTGGAACATCTCGTGCGTTACCATGAAGATGGCAATGACTTTCTGTTTCGGATTGTGACGGGGGATGAAATGTTGGTCCACCATTTCACGCCAGAATCGAAGGCCGCATCTATGGAGTGGAAACATCCGTCATCACCTGTCCGAAAGAAGTTCAAGACAACTCCCTCTGCAGGTAGGTAAAGTGCTCCTCACAGTTTTCTGGGACGCCCAAGGAGTTTTGTTGCTGGACTTTTAGGAGGTTGGAACTATCAATGCTACGCGCTACTGTGACACCCTGTCGAAATTGAAAGAGGCGATTCGGAAAAAGCGGCCTGGCCTTCTCACATCTGGCGTTCTGTTATTGGATGACAATGCCAGACCACATTCGGTGACGGCAACGCAAAACCATATTGCAACTCTTGGTTGGGAGCGCCTACACCATCCGCCATACAGTCCTGATCTCGCACCAAGCGACTTCCATCTGTTTCCGGCTTTGAAGAAAAATCTCGGGGGAAGGCGCTTTGGAAGCAATACTGAAGTGAAACAAGCCGTTCAACGCTTCTTCCATATGCAAAGCCCTGATTTTTTCCTGGAGGGACTTTTGAAGCTTATCAAGCGATATGATAAATGTCTCAATGTACTTGGTACCTATGTGGAAAAATAAAGGTATGTCATATCTTTAATGTCTCATTCTATTTTTTGACTTTCATACACAACTCTGACCACAGTCGACAGGGGAAACTTATTTTTCAACTTACCCTCGTATTTCCTTTTGTAGTCCTTTAGTGACATACAAAGTAGTAAATATTTTAGGTAATAATAAATGTAATTTGTTTTACACCAGTTGCAGTCAGCAAACTGAATTGAATAAAGTTCCTGAAATACAAGTCCAGTATCGGCCAGACATTAAAACCGCCGAACACAAGCACTTCCATAGGGCTTCAAACCTCAGCAAACGGCATAGTTACATGACAAGCTCCTCCATATAAAATGCAAATATATTTCATTTTCCCTCAAACAAGTCAGTTTCTTAAAATGTTTCCTTATACCCAAATATTTAATCAAACTAAATTTGCTTTTCGCACATTCAAAGCTTTATTCTATAATCTCTATAAAACTGACGCTTTGGTTCTTTCTTTATTATTTGAAGAAGCTTTTGAATTGAGGTTCAAATGCATTATCCAATTCATTATTTTCCGAATCAATCACTTCAGATGCTGAGGACTAGAATTCTTTTTCCTTCTTTGTCAATGATAATTTCCTTTATATCTTTATATTTATTTAAAACCCCACAAATTATATTTTTCAATTCCTCTTGCGTAAACATATTACTTTTTAATGCTGTGTAGTCTTAAAACATCTAAATCTCACTGCATACAATTGATAAACTTGACTGCAAGTTAAAATATTCACAAATTGTAAAAATAGAGTACCTCCTCCTGACGACGTTATGTCGAAGTTGATTGGGTTCCTGTTCTTTTATGTTCGTTTTCCATCTATCCACACACCCACCCACAAATCTTTCCATTTATTTATTTATTTATTTAACTTTGAACTATCTTTATTTTTATTTGAAACCACCAGCTGCTTACGTAAAGTATCTGATCGCTGGTATCTCGATAAGCGAACGAGATGGTTACACGGGCGTTTTCGTGCTTTTCTCTTGTATATCGTGGACCCTAGCCATTTTCCTTAGAAGTCTTCCACAAAGGCTTTCCTTCCCTTAGGGAAATAGGCCCGCGTGCTTCGCGGTAATAAAAGAAATCAAGCCAGTAACTTTTATTTACTTATTTATTCTGTTTTATCTATGGGAACTTAGCAATTAGTTTTAGCTTACAAGCATTTTTCTTTGAGTATGTAAAATCAACTGTAATTTTTTTTCTCGGATTCTTTAAAATAAGTGCAAATTACAATTATGTTGAAAATTTATGGGAGCATTATCGATAAAACATTGAAATAAAGAACGGTAGTAAAAACGAAAATCCGATGCGGTCACCACATGACTTCCTTGTATGGCGAATTAAATGTTACACATTTTTGCTGCATTTCATTTAAACTTATTTCTCCGAATTTCATTAAAGATATATTTTGCATTCCGTTAATTCAGTTCTCACTTAGCATTAAGACAAGAATGCATAAAAAGTATAGCATTATCATTAAACATTGTAAAATACAGAAAAATTTAAAATACCAAATACAGTTAAAAACAGTCTTAAAAAATTGTACAATTAAAATTTCTATGCAAAAAAAAAAAAGAAAAGAAAAGAAAAGAAAAAGAAAAAAGAAAAAAAATCGGCTGATGGAATGGAAAACAGATTTTTCGGATTGATTCAACAAAGGAGAATGAAATCTTGGACAATACCTACTTGAATGGCGGGAAAGATTCCGAACGTAGCCACTGAAGCCCAGCCTTGCAAGAACAACAAATAGATGTAAAGGCTTCTCGAATACCTTGGCGAGCGGATGCTTACATGTTTGGAAATATCTGTGGGTTTATTAAAAGCTTCCATCTCGTGAGCAGAGCATTCCTCCCCCTTAAAGCATGTGACCTATCAAATAAAAATTTCATGACACATATCTTCATTGTTTTAATATGTCTCCGTAAACCATTAAGAATTATAAAACATGAACGGCTAATCTTTGGAATATGGTAACAGGTAGTTTGGCGACATTTTGGTAAGGCGATAAAGGTTACTAGCTAGGACTTTAGCAGTGTACATGGATAAAGTCAAGAGTGTGCGCAATGCCATTTTTGTGCAATTCTGAGATGTTTTTAAGTGAAAATAGGTCGACGTGTACATGGATACCGTGTATGTGCAATTCTTAAAAACGCGGCAAGCAGTTTGCGATTCTGCACTTTCTCCTAATTTTGGCATCTAATCTTCGTCATGATTAAGCACTTTTGTTCCATAAAAGTTCTAGCATAAGCGTAATTCGGCTAGCAGATTGTTGGAAAAAAATGTTGAGTAAAAAAAAAAAAAAAAGCCTTTACTTCGTGAAAACAAAATGACGTCCAAACAAAAACTAGCAGGTTGCTGTAGCAGGGTTGGTCGCCAAATTTTCACCACAAAATCGCCAAGTTACCATAATTCAAAGATTAACCAACATGAATACATCTCGTCATCAAAGAACGATTAACAGATATATTTTTTTTCAGTTTTAGATAAAATTTCTAATTAATAAGAAACATAGAAATAGCTAAATTAACTTGTGTGCTAGAAACCAGAAAAGGTACTACTTCACATATATTTCAAATTTGTATGTCTTCAGTAGAGGTTGCAAATGTAAAACTTCTTGATGACTTTCTTCAATGAATGACTCTTCTTATACAATAGATTTTTACGCTAGTTAACAGAGAATTACAGTTCATACTATGTTTACATATATTTTTACAACAGATATTAATTTCAATAAAGTAGCAGTTTTAGGTTATATTTCTCAATCACTCAAGCATACCTAATAATTGCTCCATATTTATTACAGACAATTTACTTCATAAAAACTACGAGGCACAATTTTCTTATTTATAAAATTAAGTTTAATCCTAGGGCTCTTATTATACAGACTTTTACTACATATACTCATCTTTACAAGGGAAGAACTGGTATTTTCTTTTATATTGGAAAGCGAATCCTAATTTTTTGGCTTTAATTAATATATTTTTGTCATTACGTGGTGATGAAAATTTCATACCTAGTTTCTCACGAGAAAGTTTAGGTAATCAAAGCAGTGCTTTTAATTATATTCACACAGAATTCTAATCAACTGAATTCATTTTTTCAGCAAGTCCAAATTTCGTACTAGCTGTTTATAATGCTAATTTAGAAAATATTTAAAGCAAATAATAATAATTTTATACATAATTATATCATATATTTACACACTTTCATTTGAAAACTGTTATAAACATTTAAAATCAAGGAAAACACCCATTAAAAGCTGCTGTTATTTGAAGAGAATAATAACGCTTTCTTTGGTAAAAAGTACTTGAATAATATGGCTGTCCATTAATATACCTTTGTTTAACTGGCGGATGGCATCACACTACTTAATGATTATTTTTATCAGGAAAACCACTATCATGCAAATTTCCTACAGGAAATTTTCTTATGTATAAGTTAAAGAGATTCCAAGAATTTCCTAAAATTAGCATGTCCTTAATCATCAAAATTGATTAATAAAAAAAAGAATCAGAAATTCGTGGCTTCGATTACTCGATTTCTGTGTCACAAACGCACTTTATCGTATCAAAATAAGAAAACTAAACTAGTCAGATTGAGAGAATTATGTTAAGTTTTACGTAGAGTTTAATTTGCATTGTGTTAACTTCTGTTTGATTCACATCACGTACAATCTCCAGACAGGAGGGTCATGTAAATTAACAACTTTTAAAGTAATGCCTTTAAACTATGCGAAATATAGTTTAAAATCTAGTTCGTTTAATTGCAACTCGTGTTTTGGGTGATGAGAGGCCACCATGCTGACCCAGAACTAGCACCACTCTGTTTAGAGCAACTTGTCTGTCGGTTATGGTGCTTCATTCGAGACTAGTAAGTACCTTTTACTTAACCACTAGCACTGCAATTAACCTTTACTACTTACTTTGGCTGAAAGTAAGTAGCAAGCTAAAATTGGCTTGTAAGGATTATGTTAATTTTTTTTAAAGTTTTAAGTTCCTTTCCTGTCAAATTCTTAACTTCAACTTACTACTTCCGGCCAGAACGTAGTTTCGGAATCACTCTGAATACATAATGAGGAAGAGCGGTATTTAACCACGAAGTCCTTTGGTCTTATGGAGAGAGAATCAGAGTTTCTGATTTGCGCGCGTCTGCCTTTTTGTCTACTCTCTCGCAAAGCTGTTACTACGCTCGGCCGTACTCAGGCCCTTGATAGCTTTGCAGTCAATTAGAGTTAAGAGGCCAACTCGGTTAGAATCTTGATAGCTTCGGCTATATCTCTTTAGTTTAAATTAGTTTTAGTTTACTTCTTAGCCTCTTAAGTTCAAGCCGAAGTGTCGGCTTTTATTGTACACTCCAAGACGGAGTTCTGTTAAATCTTTTTTGAATAATAAAGGGTTATTTACCTTTTCATCTTGTTTCTTGTCACACGAAATCAAGAGGTTATTCGCTTAACTGTTCTTAAGATTCTTCACATTCAACAATAACTTATCATTTACAAAGTGAGGAACGCTATAGGCTAAAGGGAGAAAAAAGCAAATGGCTCGTATGAAATGAATGATTTTGATAATTGCAAATTCCCAAAACAGGTCGCCTAAGAAATAAAAGTTATTGCATGGAAGTAGTCAATCTTTTAGTTTTAACGTATCAAACGTGGAAAAGTAAAGTATATTAAACTTCAGATCCCTGCAAGTAGATTGTAGGCTAGTGTGAAATAAATGATTTTGATTTTTGTAAATTCACAAAATAGTTCGCCTGTTATTACACGAAAATAAATAATATTACAAGAAAATAAACGTTACTACAAGAAAGTCATGAATTTTAGTTGTAACCTATCAACAGTGAAGAAAGTAAAGTTTGTTAAACTTCAGATCCCTGCAAGTAAGTAGAATGTAAGCGCGTATGAAACATATGAAAAACTCATTGAACACGTATGAAAAATCATTTCAAAATTGTAAATTCCTCCTAAAAGTTCGCCTAAGTGATAAAGGTTATTGCAGTAAAGTAAATCAGTCTTCTATTTGCAACCTATCAAGGGTAGACAAATCAAGTTTGTTAAACTTTACATATCTGCAAGTAAGTAAATTGTAGTTATAATACCGTATTATGTAGTTATAATACCGTAAATTGTAGTTATAACACCGTATTATGTAGTTATAATACCGTAAATTGTAGTTATAATACCGTAAATTGTATATAATACCGTTATAATACCGTAAATTGTAGTTATAATGCCGTAGTTATAATACCGTATCATTATAATACCGTATTATGTCAGGTTCAGCTTATATAAAATATTTCAAATTTCATAAATTTTTATTCTTCGTATTATTTTAATGCACGAAAAGTAATTAAAACTGTTTCATACTAGGCGATTACTTTTTCACAACTAAAATAAGTAATAAAACGACATCTATTTTAAAAAATTAAAATGGGCAAATATTTGCGCAGCTTTGTTTTTGTAACGAAACGAAGTATATATAAAAATACACTTCATTCCAATAGAGCTGTATTATAAGATAACTCATAAGATCTCTAACTTATGAGTTACTCTGATTTATGACTTTAAAGGTTCTGACTTATGATGAGGTAATTTTATACTATGACTTATAACTCTGATGTCTAGGGTATCTCGGTCATATCAGGCTGGCAATTCATAAGTAACTCTGAGGGAGGAGGCTTTAGGTGGAGGTACTTTTAAAAATAGTGTAAATAGTAGAGTTTTAAAACTGCTCGAAACTTATAATTAAATTGAAATAATCCAAAGAAGAAACTAAACGGAATTCATGGATTCGAGTAACTCATTTGATACAGCATAAGTGCGGGAAACTGGATTTTATTTCCATTTGAGACCTCAGATCTCAGCAGTTTTAGGATCCGTTTAATTAACAACTTATGTATTAAAATAGTGACAATATATTCAGTTAGTTCACATACTTCGGGCCCACCAGCGGCCCAGCGGTAACGTCGCTGAACACTGGTAGTTCGGTCCGAGGTTCGCGAACGGGCTGGCTGCATGGGTGTTTTCGTGGTTTTCCCCATGTGTAACGTGTATACGAGCCAGTTTTCCTTAAAAAGTCCTCCACGAAGGCCTCCCTCCCTTAAGGTAGATAGCCCTTGAGGGCTTTGCCGTAATCTAATAAACCAAACCACATACTTCGAACAGAAGTCTAAACAACACCGGGAAAAAGTTTTCACTAAGCCTAGAATCCAAACAATTTTAAGTTATTTATCATGTTTTCACTCGTGCAATTTGAATCATTATAATACCGTATTATGTCAGGTTCAGCTTATATAAAATATTTCAAATTTCATAAATTTTTATTCTTCGTATTATTTTAATGCACGAAAAGTAATTAAAACTGTTCCATACTAGGCGATTACTTTTTCACAACTAAAATAAGTAATAAAACGACATCTATTTTAAAAAATTAAAATGGGCAAATATTTGCGCAGCTTTCTTTTTGTAACGAAACGAAGTATATAAAAATACACTTCCTTTCAATAGAGCTGTATTTTGCATTGTATGTCGCATGAAAATAGTTAAGGTTCTTAATTAGAGAATTTTAATACAGAGTAATTCATATAAGTCCACAGGAAGTACGTCGTAGTGCCCATGTATGAACATTAGAATATTTTGAAAGTAGAAGACGTGAAAAATGGGCAGTGCCCTAGCCGGGACATGATCCACGGACCTCTCATTGCCCACCGAGTGTTCTGACTGCTACACCATGAAGGCATGCTAAGAAGGCGGGAGAAATACTTCATACTCATAGATTCTAATTTTACAAACTTGAGCTCACAAAATATTTTTTATTATTGAATTTTTTAATATATACAGATTTATATATAAACAGCATTTATTTATAACATAACAGATTCATATATAAAAAATATTTATTTACTAAGAAGTTTATTTCTTTAAGTATATTTATATATTTTGAACTCCTTTATCACCTTATAACTAAAAAACATTATTCTATTTTTCATTTTGGTATATCCTGCAAGAAATCTATTTCCTACATTTTAAAAAATGCTAATAGGGAAATAAGTTTACCAGGCAAAAGTATTATTGTTGGAGATTTGAAATAGGATGATTGTATTCTTTCCGTTACATACAACAAAGATAATACTTGTAGAACAAATGGAACGAACCATCATTCGTGTTTGTAAAAAATCTACTAAAGATTTTCAATGTGCGTATCTTTCATTATACGATAGGGTCTAGATAGATGTAGTTCCTATCCAATACTTAACGGCATTACGAATTTTACAGTACCACTTTTCAATATATATATATATACGTTCCACTTTTCAATACCACTTTTCAATGCCACTTTTCAATTACCACTTTTCAATATATACGTTCTGATAAGGGCTTTGGTGGGAAAGAGAAATGAAACTGACAGTACGTAAATAAATTAACAACAAACTTATTTCTTTTGGCTCAATTAGAGAAAGTGTAGTTCCAGGTGTATTCAGGTGAGAAAACAAAATAAAAGATTCCGATAACTGGAGTTTTAGACATCTGAATCCTAGTATTTGAACAAGACTTGGATTGGATTAGTTATATCACGACATAACACTGAAAGGCTCTCTGAATGGAAGTGGCTTTGTGGAGGATATTTTAAGGGGACTCATACACCTTAAAACCCATAAGATGTTCGAATAGGTGACTGTTGCAAGAATTGGGATAACTTATTTATTTTAAAAGCAATTACAACCAACTTTTTACATAATGTAGCTGCTTTCTGAAATAGTAATCAGAAAGTTTGTGTTGCCACAAATATTTTTATAATTTAATCCGCTTTGTGACAACATTCTTCGTCATGTTTCCAACTAGTTTCAAACATTTTGTTTCATAATTTAATTCCATATTTAATATATAGCTTTTATAACATTTGGAAACTACTGTGAACCTAAAATTCTAAAAATTTCATGTTAAATTTTTATTTTATTTTGAGTTGAGTTTATAAAATGTATTTTATTAAAAAAATTTGTAATGTTTTCGTCCATAAAATTTTTCAGTATTGAAATATTCATCAGATTGTTGGTTCAGTTAGAAAATAGTGCCCATATAAAGAATTCCATCAAATTTCAAGTATGTACCATGAGCCATTTTTAAAATATCATGCGCGCAAAGTGGAAACTGGCGAAATATTTTGTCACAAAGAGGATTAAATTACAAAAATATTTGTGGCAACACAAACTTTCTGGTTACTAGTTTCCAAAGCAGCTATATTATGCAGTCAGCTGTAAAATGTTGGAAGAAATTGCTTTTAAAATAAATAAAATATCGCAATTCTTGCAACAGTCACATATTCGAAGATCATGAGGGGTTTAAGGCGTAAGAGTCCCCTTAAAGGAATTAGCTTGTATTCCCTACACAGGTGGAAAAGTCGTAAAACTCCAATTCAGCTGGCTTCGTTGGGATTTGATACCTGGCCGAACTACCAGTGATCAACGATTTTACTATTTGGTTGCTGGTAGGCCAATATTTAAGTGTTTCAATGTATAGAGTAATTCATATAGGCCCACAGGCAGTACGTCGCAGTTCCCATATATGTTAACTTTGCAAACTTCAGCTCACAAAATGATTTTTATTATTGAAATATACGTAACTGCTATAAAGAAACACAAGACACGTTTTATTATAATTGAAATTCAGAACGTACACAACGTTCAAATTTCTTCACTGTTCACATGCAACTTCACAGTTATCATTGACAGATTAATTGCTTGAATTTAGATATTTATGAGTTACCTACATACTTAGTATTATATTTAAAAATCTGACACGCATACTGTATTCCGCATACCTTTCTTGATATATTGATAGGTTATTGAACAGAAAGGCAAAGAGCCATCAAACGTCTAGCATTACATAATTAAACCATTTCTGTGATCTTTGCCAAAACGTAAGAGTTGCATTGATGCAAAAAGGACTTTAGGAAGATTTATCACACCATTCGAAAACTTACTTTTTCTGTCTGACAAAATGGAAGCTTGTCGAGGAGAATGAAAGCTAACCAACTCAATAACACCATAGCCAGCAAGATGGCGAAGAACCACTCTGGTGAAAAGCGAGGTTCTTTGACTTGGTAGGTCTGTACGAAATGCGTCATATTTGTTCCATTGACAATGTTAGTTCTGGTTTCATTGACGCATTCTGGATTCTCAATTCCTTGAGCAATAGCCACCAAGCTTGGCACCAGACCACTCAAACCTTCCCCAACTAAATATGGTGTTAGGTAGCATGCCCTGAAACAATAACATGACATAAATTTTACGGTCAGGTGATAAACTGAGCAGTAACGAATCATTAAAAGATATCCTTTTAAATAAGCTTTAAAACCACTTTATGATTATGAAACATTTTATGGTACTTATGTATCATCTTGTCGATTCTGAAATAGTCTCTAAGCAGCATGATTTAGAGCAGCGCTACTAAACCTTTCGACTAACTTGAACCATCTAAACAAAAATTGAAAAACTGTAGTACCACCACTACATTTTGAAATGATTCTTTTTCAATTTCTCAATAGAAATATTTTTAAAAAATATATTTTGCCATTTTCACAACCTCTTGGCTATTTATATTAAATATGCGCTCATAAAAATGTTAGATTAAAAATTTGGTTACCATTTTAATTATCAAAATTTAAGTTATAATACTTTAATTCTAAATTTTACTGTGAAATTTGGGCCTATTTAAGAGAGATCAATTTCTTTATATCTGATCATATTTCGCTTAGCTTTAACCGTAAATTAGGATCCACTTTTAATTTTGTTCGGTATATTTTTTGTTAAAATATAACATGGAAGAGAATCCTTGTTCACAAAAATAGGTTGTGCAGAAAGGGAATAAAAATTTAATGATCTTATTTGAAATGCCTTTAAACTTCTTTGTTCAGTTTAGCCTAAAGTTAACAAGTGCGTTATTTTTGCAATCTTCAGTTAGAGTTCAATCACAAAAAATTTCTATCAATTGTTCTTTTTCTTCATGAGAGTTTTGAAATTAATTATCACCAATACGAGTACCACCAGTTGAAAATCGCTGATTTAGAGCTTATTATGGATAAGCTTGACGTCACAACATATTCATAACCTCTGCACTTTGATTTGATGTTACCGGAGCGATTCTTGATAAGCCACTTTTGTTTTTATGAACAAAGATAAGAATTAAGTGTTATTACTGTATTTTTTCTTGTATTTGGGAAGGAATTGAGTTTGAGATATGCAAACTCGCATTTGTGAGTGCCGTTCAGTTCATTTACAGCTGAGACTCAGCTAGACTCAACAACTCAACCACAGAACTAACATCCGTCCAATGGGAAAACGAACACCTAAACAAGGCTGGCAAAACAGTAATAGATTGAAATACTCACCTCCGGACAGTTTGTGTTCATAGTAATGTAGTGGTAATGATAGGAGTATTCTAGCTTTCCAACCGGCAAGGCCGTGTATATACGGCCTAGAATATTTGTTGTGATATCTGTAAGAACGTATATATACGTGCATTTTGAAATACGTCACAGAAATTAAGATAATATATTAAAAGTACAAAATCCAGGTATAAAATACAAAAAGAATTTTGTATTAAGATCAAGAAAATAATTTTTTCTCGCAGTAGTTTTTTTGGAAATTTGTGCTTTCTTAGCGAAAACTCTGGCCGGTCAGAGGTCTAGACTGCGCTTTGTCTAAAATCAGAGGGGGCCTAATAAAATAAATCAATTAAAGCCTTTTTAGAAATCGCCGCAAAATGAAGCAAGTAGAATACTTTCGCAGCGATGGTTTTTGGTGGACTTGTGTAGAGAGACAAACGAATACTTTATTGTAGAGAGTTGTAGATAAATAGCGTGATCAGAATTCCTCAGGAATCATTAGTGCATCTTTGGCACGATCGCAACCAACCTTCATGGTTCGATAATAACCAATTTTCATGGTCGACGGGATAATACCTAAGTACCAATTTTATTCTAAATAAGCTTTGGTCGGAATTAATATGCTAGTTGTAGCCCGACTAGGTTTATATGGAATTTTAAATTCCTAAATAGTGGTCTCCTTATCCATGTTTATTTGCATTCATAGATTGAAATACTCACCTCCGGACAGTTTGTGTTCATAGTAATGTAGTGGTAATGATAGGAGTATTCTAGCTTTCCAACCGGCAAGGCCGTGTATATACGGCCTAGAATATTTGTTGTGATATCTGTAAGAACGTATATATACGTGCATTTTAAAATACGTCACAGAAATTAAGATAATATATTAAAAGTACAAAATCCAGGTATAAAATACAAAAAGAATTTTGTATTAAGATCAAGAAAATAATTTTTTCTCGCAGTAGTTTTTTGGAAATTTGTGCTTTCTTAGCGAAAACTCTGGCCGGTCAGAGGTCTAGACTGCGCTTTGTCTAAAATCAGAGGGGCCTAATAAAATAAATCAATTAAAGCCTTTTTAGAAATCGCCGCAAAATGAAGCAAGTAGAATACTTTCGCAGCGATGGTTTTTGGTGGACTTTGTAGAGAGACAAACGAATACTTTATTGTAAGAGTTGTAGATAAATAGCGTGATCAGAATTCCTCAGGAATGATTAGTGCATCTTTGGCACGATCGCAACCAACCTTCATGGTTCGATAATAACCAATTTTCATGGTCGACGGGATAATACCTAAGTACCAATTTTATTCTAAATAAGCTTTGGTCGGAATTAATATGCTAGTTGTAGCCCGACTAGGTTTATATGGAATTTTAAATTCCTAAATAGTGGTCTCCTTATCCATGTTTATTTGCATTCATTAAAATTTAAATGACTTACACAAAAGCTCTGAGTGCTAAATGAACTATAGATGACAATAAAATATGTTGTCTATTTTACTTTTCAGTTCTCACGTTCTGACCTCGGGAGCGTGGGTAAGCGAGGAAACCTTGGCTTATTTGGCAAAATATCTTAGGGTAATATGCGGTCTTGATATACGAAAACAGAGGTTGAATACCTATCATAGTCATAGTTAAGGTAAAAACCTCGCGAAAATTATCCCGGAATATTACCCCCAAAATATTATAATGCCATTAGATTCTATGTGAAGAAACAAAAGCTTAAAACTTTAGAAAGCTGTGTATGAAAACTATAAAATTAAATTTCGAACAACGACATAACGGCTTAGTGATGGAAACCAATAAGAAGATCAGTATAAAATGAAACAAAGGATAAAATATAAGTGTGAAAAGGAGCAGCTTTATTTTTGTTATGTCACGTGTTTTCTTTTAGCATTGACTTTATTTTGAACTTTTCCAGTGTTAAAAATGGTGATAAATTTTAATCAATAATTAATCATTAACTAAAGTATCGAAAATATATAACTGGAATCTTATTTAGCATGATTGTTTCGTGTTTAAGAAACAGAAACATTTCTGTTTCGCTGAATTTGCAAGAGCCGATAATGGCATTTTTCCAATTTCTTGTAAGTGCTTTGAATATACCACCTTATGTTTCGATTTATTAATGCAAAATGGTTTTTATTTTGGTATTGTGTTATTGCTTTTTTACACAACTGTAAGGTAATTCAGTTTTTCTGATTCCAACTGTTTCCACTGCAGGCAAATTTCAGTAGAATAAAACAAGCGCAGTACAATTAGCTTACAATATTTGTTAGCAAGAATTTAAACTTACTGAATACACTGAATAATAAAAGAATTACTACACTGAATAATAAAAGTTACAGCTTCACTAATATTTTTTTCTGATCGAGGAAAAATCTTGGATTTAAATATGATAATCAATGTTTCTAGAAATGTCTTTTGAGCTAAAAAAGGGCAAGAGAAGAATCGAAAAGTCGCAAAAAGTAGCATGTGACGTCAAATATCGTGTGATTTTTGTCGTAAGCTCCCATAACCTCTGACGATAAATGAATTAACAATATGATATTTTTGAGCCAAACTCCTCATAAGCAATAGTGCTTTGTCGTGACAGTAGAATCACGCATTTGCAATTTCCTTCTGGTCATACGCAAGCCAGTTTCTCAGTTATAGTATACCACATCTTCACACACTTACAATAAGTTAGTTATTTTTTTCTTCCAAAATATTCCCTAGAAATAATGTATATGGAAAAACAAGGTTTGCCGGGTCATCTAGTATTTATACGAGAAATCACACAACATTCCAACTAATTAACTTTTCGCTGTATCGGGTTTATCAAAACGTAAACGGGTAAAGCCAATTAAGTTTAAAAAAGGGGATTTGTTTTGAATTAAAGCTGGTATTGATACCTTTCAAGGAAATCTCCTTCTATATTTATACATCGATGCGACTCTCTTTCACTATAAATTCATAATTATCGTAATGCACCCAATGCAAACCGACTTGAATTCCTACATTCTCAAATCGAGGGAAAACAATCTGATACATAACTGCGACACGGCGAATAACAAGGCTCTCACTAAAAATCTCTCAGGACCAAAGTAATAAAGGAAATCATTCTCCAGAATGAGACAATGTATACGACGATTTATGCACTTCGCTGTTTGTTTCTGAAGCATCCGGAAAAAGATCTCTGTCGTTCATTTGAGTCATCAGCTGTTGTTAGGTTTCAAACGAATTGCTTCATCACTATCACAAAGCCACACCACTCTGAATGCATCGCAATTTTTGGTTAATCTTTGAATTATGGTAACTTGGCGAATTTTTGGCGAAAATTTGGCGATTAACCCTGCTACAGCAACCTGCTAGTTTTTGTTTGGACGCCATTTAATTTTCACGAAGTAAAAGCATATTTTTTTTTTTTTTAATAATCATTTTTTTTCAACAATCTGCTAACCGAATTACGCTTATGCTAAAACTTTTATGAAACAAAAGTGCTTTCATGACGAAGATTAGGTGCGAAATTGAGACAAAGTGCAAATCGCCCACTGCTTGCCGCGTTCTTATGAATTGCACATACATGTATCATCCATGTACACGTCGACCTATTTCACTTAAAAAAAACATCCAGAATTGCACAAAATGGCATGCGCACACTCTTGACTATATCCATGTACACTGCTAAAGTCCTAGCTAGTAACCTTTATCGCCCTACCAAAATGTCGCCAAACTACCTGTTACCATATTCCAAAGATTAGCCCAATTTTTAACTAATAGGAAATGTGTACATGGCCATGATTTATTTATTTACTGTTATTATTATTTACGTAGTCCCCCCTAAGGCACTACACGGAAAAGATGAGGACTTTCTAAGGCAAACTGGCTCGAAAACCACAAAAACTAACGTGCAGCCTGCCCTTTCGCAGGACTCGAACCTCAGACCGTTCTTACCAGTGTTCAGGGACTTTACTACTCGGCCACTGGTAGGCCTATTATTCATTTCTTAGGCTGAAATTCTAGTGGGAACAGCGTCGTTTGGATTCCACAAAGGATATTAATGCAGAACCACAGAAACGGCTGGACAGTTCTCAATTAAAATACTTCCAACATGTATTCAAATTATGATGCATGTCCTAGCTTCGATTTATAATTCAGAATGCAGGGATAAATTAAAATGGTAGGGGGCCGAATTTCATGTCGTTCAATTTCTTTTCGATCACCCTGGTATAAATAACAACAGAAACTTGTTCTCAACTAAAAGTGATGAAACTAAAATTGTAGAAATATGAAAAATCTCACATACTTGAAGTTGGCCATGAACGGCAAGAAGACGACAGATGAAGTGCAATCCACTAGAGATAGGCCAAAAGACAGCAAGAAAAAGGCCAAACTTATACCATTGACAGTCCAGGACCACATGAAAATTAGAAGGAGAGTAGATAATGCACCAACTCCTAATTGAAAATGAGTAGCTGAACGCTCCGTCACCCACTTGGGCCACCAGTGATGGAAGAAGCCATACGCTACTGGCCCGATATTGGCCACCTATAAAGACATTTAGTGTTAAATAAGATAAACTTATAATATCTACATACTGTTCAGGAAATATTAATTTATAACGTTATAATACAGCATTGTTTGAATATACTTCAGGATTCTGAACATTTTGATTAGTGACCTAACCATTAATATGCGAAAAATAAAATGCATTAATTACCAGTATGTGAACGCCACGTGAGTAGCATTGGTGTGCCCCTTCCGCATTCGTATCTGAAAACTACTCTCAAATGTGAACTAATGAATCAGTGGCAAAACTACCGGGAGACAAGCACCACAGGCAGAAGACTGTATGATTTCCAACCAAAAGGTAACCACAATTTAAATAGCAGTACTTCGCACCTCACACAGTTATGACAGGGCAGGTCCATATATGTCCCAATTCACAGATTTCGCTAAGGCAGTGACAAATGTATTTGTGGCAGTACTGGTGACCCAGATCACTATTTGTTTTGTAAGGATCTAAGTTTACACGTTTTATTTATTTAAAATTTTACTATCAGGTCTATTTTCTACTTCCGGCCAGAATTTAGCGTTTTTAGGTTTTTTATGCAAAGTTTATTCTGGCAACGCAAGTATTTAGTTGTGGCTTTTGCCAAGCGAGAGAGAGGGAAGCAATGGTTCGAGCAATGAAACTTCTAAGGTAACCGCTTACCTTAGAAGTTACGCAGTTGCTTTTGCCTTCCAGGCCAGAGGTTTTAATCCTTTTGATAATTTAAACGTATGGTATGTTCACAGTCTCTGTACTACATACGTTCCTGTTATATAAGGCCAATCTTCCACGTTTATTATTCTAAAGTTAACTTAGTTTAGTTTATTTTTATACTTTTACGTTAGACCCCAAGTAGCGGGTCAGTGTATTCCGAAGTACGGAAGAAGTTATTGTATATAGAGAAAAATAAAGGGTTTTGTATACCCTTCGTCTGTATCCTTCACTTACCACAATTAGTGAATAGCTTAGTAAGTCTCTGTTCCGATCAGGTCCTGGATGGTCCGAAGAGAAGGTAAGAAGGGAACTTGAAATGATAGTTTGACCTGCTCGCACACAGGATTCACACTTGAAAGACCAACTGCAATCAATAAGCCGCATGGTTCAGAACACAATTAAGAATAATAGCGATCAGCCGCATAAGACTGCATACCATTGCTAAAAGCATTTCTGACAACCTGGAGTGACTCTTCCTTGGAACCGTCCGTCAGCAGCCTGCTATGTACATATATTAATTTACTTAATGTTTAAGTCTTGTGTTTTGTGGTTTGCTGTTTTTAATATATTAATATTATGACAATCCAGAACTCATTTAATGTATTCCACAATTGTTGGGTCATCTTACATCTGTACCTGATTTTTATAGCACATCCATATAATGTCTGCCTAAAATACGTAATAGTGAAAAGTGTAGTGCTTAGTCTCAGCAGTTCCACCATCCACCTTCTTTCCATGTTCTGCTTCTATTTCAAGTTCTCGTTTCGTGGCCAATCCCCGGAGACACAGTCTAACTCTTTAATTATATTATTTATGTATTTTTTAAACTCCATCGACGGGATCCAACAGGCTGAAAAGCACCTAACCCAGTGGGCCAGTTGTTCCGTCGATGGTGAAAAGAAAAGTATGTAAAAGCTGTAGAATAATGCAAAGTATCTAAAAGGCTTAATCCTGCCAAAAACAGAGTCAAGAGCATACATCATCTAATGTGATTCGTATACATGTTATACATTCAAACATGGTTTGATTTTATCATGCGCTTTTTTATATTAATTTTCTTTCCTCTTTTATGAAGAAAATTTCTAGTGAAAACTCAGTAAGGGGTTTAAGGATTTAATTTCAGTAGGATGTTGAAAATTATCACTAGATCATTCAGGCTATAATAACAAACGAGAATTACGAACGAAACGAGCTTTTGTACTTACGATTACAAAAGCTTTTTAAATCATGTAAGTATTCATGTTTTAGCATTTTTATATTTAAAAATATCAGTTTTGTAAAAATTGCGAAGTTTACCTTTTTATACGTTTCCTTGATCCTAATAACTTGCATTTCGAAAAATGTTATATTCATTATAATAAATAAATTGCAAAGCGTGAGACTCATGTACGACAAAATTTGACTGAAAGATTTAATTTTAAAATTGGAGATCATATTCAGGGGCTCTAGAACAGAATTAAATGTTTGCATTTGTACATAATTAAAAATAAAATACCAGTTTAGGAAACAATATCTGGTACTAATAGATAATAAATGACATTTTACGCAAAATGTTATAAAAATATTCAAAAATATTATCTTATTCGCATATTAAAAATGACCTTATTAATCTTATATAACTCGTGTTCTAGGAAACACTGGTAAGTTTTAGTATTAACGTACAAAGCGTACAAAAGGCCAAGCTGTAAAGTCACCGAACACTGGTAGTTCAGTCCGGGGTTCGAATCCTGGCAAACAAGCTGACTGTACAAGAACTTCCGTGGTTATCTCCAATTGTAGCGCATATATGAGCCAATTTTCCTTAAGTCCTCCGCCCACCAGCGGCCGAGCGGTAAAGACGCTGAACACTGGAATTCGGTCCGAGGTTCGAATCGCGCGAACGGGCTGGCTGCATGGGCGTTTTCGTGGTTTACCCCATGTGTAACGTGTATACGAGCCAGTTTCCCTTAGAAAGTCCTCCACGAAAGGCATCCCTCCCCTTAGGCAGATAGCCCTAGTGTGCTTTGCCATAATTAAATACACACACCTTAAGTCCTCCGTGAAGGCATGCCCTCCTTAGCTAGGCAGCCCTTGTTTGCTTTGCCATAATCAAATAAACTAAACCAACATTGACACATAGCCAAATTGTTACATTATTTGGGAAAGTTAAAAATGAAAATTATTTCCAGCTGAATGAATTTTTAGTATGATTATTACACTATAATTGTAAAATAATAAAATGCCATGAGAACATTATTAATGTACGTATTTTTAGCTTTTGAAAACTTATAAAATATTTGAGAAAATAATTTTTTGATATACGGGTTGCAACAAAATTTTAACTTAAAGAGTACTAATAATTACAGAAGAATATCATTGAACAGTACGTCAGATGGAAAAATTAATCTCGAAAAGGCCAATACGGCATCATTATGACAAAGCACACTAAGGTAGTCTCTCTAAGACGAGGGCTATCTTCATGGATCGATACTAGATCGTATTCAACTTACTCATAAGGAAAAACCACACAAAATTTTAAGCAGCCCCCCTTCCCCAATGGTGTGAAAATATTATAGAAAATACAAATCCATGACTACTGAGTCTAAAACTATTATTACACTGAAGTGACAAAAGTCATGGGATACCTTCTAATCTTTAGTCGGTCCTCTTTTTGCCCGGCGAAGTGCAGCAACTCGACGTGGCATGGACTCAACAAGTCGTTGGAAGTCCCCTGCAGGAATATTGAGCCATGCTGCCTCTATAGACGTCCATAATTGTGAAAGTGTTGACGTGCAGGGTTTTGGGCACGAACTGACCTCTCGATGATGTACCATAAATGTTCGATGGGATTCATGTCGGGCGATCTAGGTGGCCAGATCATTCGCTGGGAATTGTCCAGAAGTCTTCTAACCAATCGCGAACAATTGTGGCCGGTGACATGGCACATTGTCATCCATAAAAATCCCATCGTTGTTTGAGTAGTGAAGTCCATGAATGGCTGTAAGAGATCTCCAAGTAGCTGAAGGTATCCACCAGTCAATGATCGGTTCAGTTGCACCAGAGGACGAGTCCATGCCATGTAAAAACAGCCCAGACCATTATGGAAACCACCACCAGCTTGAACAGTGCCTTGTTGACAACTTGGGTTCATGGCTTCGTGGGGTCTGCGCCACACTCGAACCCTACCATCAGTTCTGACCAATGAAATCGGGACACATCTGACCCCAAGCCACGGTCTTCCATTCGTTTAGGGACCAACGATATGCTCACGAGCCCACGAGAGTCGCTGCAGGCGATGTCGTGCTGTCAGTAAAGGCACTCGAGTCGGTTTCTGTGACATAGCCCAAGGGAAAGAAATTTCGCCGCACTGTCCTATCGGACACGTCCCTCGTACGTCCCACATTGATTTCTGCGGTTATTTGACGCAGTGTTGCTTATCTGTGAACATTGACAACTCTATGCAGACGTCGCCGGTCTCGGTCGTTAAGTGCAGGTGGTCGGCCACTGCGCTGTCCATGGTGGGATATTATGCCTGAAATTAGATACTCTCGGCACACTCTTGACACTGTGGATCTCGGAATGTTGAATTCCCTAATATCCGAAATGGAATGACCCATGCGTCTAGCTCCAACTACCATTCCGCGTTCAAAGTCTGTTAATTCTCGTCGTGCGGCCATAATCACGTCAAAGCCTCTTCACATGAATAACTTGAACTCAAATGAAATCCCCGCCGAAGCACTTTGCATTTATACATTTTCTACGCGATACTACTGGCATCTGTATATTTGCATATTGCTATCCCATGACTTTTGTCACTTCAGTGTACATTAAACGACCGCTTAGGTGGTAGGGAGTCTACTGAAGAACCGAAGGGAATGCCTTTGAACCGCGGAGGACGCATGGATGTTTGTAAATGCATAGCGTGTTTGCAGGATGTGGGAACTCTAAATATATGATGAGACGAATGTCCTCTCGTGTGGTCTGTGTGGTCAGAAAGAGGGGTGGGAGACTCTCCGGCCCGTTCCCTGGGGACAGTGAGTCCCTGTCAGACAAGTGAGCTAAGTCACAACAAAAACAACGACCACTAAACACTCACCAGGTAGGCTATCACTTTCAGTGAATTGGTGTACATTAATGCTATTCTGATTGCCTAACTTAAAATTGATAGTTCGACGTGATTTCAAAACCCGACATGTGGACTGAATGCATATATATTTCCTGGTTTCCCTCATTCATAACGAACATAAGAGCTTAGCTCTCTACAAAGTCTCCGCGACTTTGTAGTTTAGTTTGCCGGTTGATT